GTGCCACTTGAGCCACGTGCGGCTCGATAGACCGTTGCACGGGCAGCACCGACCCCACATGCCGCGTCCTACCTAACCCCGCGAATCGCGGGTGGCAGCGACCGCCCGCTGTCTGCCTACCATCTGTCGTCGTTTCCCCGCCGCAACGCCACCACTGCAACACCCGCCGCCGAATCCTCGGATCACGCCCCCTAATTCAACCCGATGGTTCACTATATTGTTAGAGATGTGCTCGCCTTCGCCTTTCCTCAAAGCTCTGATTGGTCGGTTGCTCCCCGGTGGACGAGTTCAACTCCGGCGTGGGGCGCAGATCCGAGACATCAAGCCCCTCCTACGAGCATGTACCGTGATCCGCTAGTGGCCCACCAGATGCCTCCCCAGCTAGTTCCACTGCAAATTGGGTAATATTCTAAAAGTGCTAGCGAACATACTTGTAGCAGATTCGTTTGTTGCATCCACACTTGCAATAGGTGATTTGAACCACCAATTATAGATTTGAACTGAAAAACTTGAGCAGATTCCGTGTTGCCATTTATATTTGCAGTAATTTTTTTTCCATATTCATGTGTGAATTCAGTGAGTTGCATCCCAACAAAACTGATGTTAAACAAAAAACTGTGAGTGTTGGTTTTCTGATTGAATTCAACACAAGATTGTGCCCAAACTAGTGAAATGGTTGGAAAAATTGCATGGAGTAAAATGTGTTGCATTCAGAAATTTACCTGAACTTTTTTCAGAAAATGTTGCCTGTTTAAAATGCTTAGTTTACAGTAATTTGATGGTAAGTTATAGAGTTGAATTATCTAAAAAATGTTGATGATGGATAACAGTAGTCAAGGGGACTCCATTCAAACTTATAAGTTCTGATTTCAGGGGAAATAAAAATGAAAAGTTGTTTGATGATGAAGGTGATTTTAGCCTGTTGTATTGAATGTGCATGTCTCAACTGTTTTTTTGGATATATGAAGCATTTACATCATGTGGAAGACAAAGAAGTTTCAACTCATAAAGCCTATTGCTTGCTTCCCTTTCAGTGAACTACTACTTTGTTTTAGTGGAAGAATACTTTATGTTGCAAAAGTAAGAACAAAAATAATATTGTGTGATAAATCGTTTACATCATGTCATATTGATTTGTTTCTAAAAATTTCTGATGGATCGTGTTATATTTTTGTTGCATTGTTGATAGGATACCAAGGATGGGATAGGAGGCGAGGAAAGATTATGGCATCAAACTATGAACATACATCATGCAAGGCTTGCATGGGTAAGGAGTGATGTTGTAACCAATTGTTTATATCTGGATCACAAATTATAAGAGAAAAACAAGATAACATAGGACCATAACCTGACGAGTATTAACAAAAAATAATCGGAATGTATCAACATGAGATCTAATTTGCATCAAGCTGAAACGCAACTAAACGTGAAAAGTAGATGGTCAATTTGGTACACGGATAAATTATTGAAATTGGTTGTTCAAATGAATCTTTTCACATCATGTGTTTTAAACTGAAGCACATGCACCCACGCATGCGAATTGTTGGTTTAAGTGTTAAAAATTGATTCAAGAGTGTTTGATATCACTCGAAAAACAAAGGAATTCTATCAAGAGGTTTGAGTAGATGACATTTTTGCTCCAAAACATACTAGTACAAATGAATCTCAAGCAAAAATACCTAACGATTTCAACTCTGTGAATCTACAAACATAGAATATTTTTCAGAATCAAATCCTCTGAAATTTCTATGAAATTCCTTTGAATCAAAGGAGCCCCAAGAGACAGAACTCACATGAAGGTGCCGCCACCTAAGACTACGGTGGATACACTTCCCCCCATAGATGTTTATGTAAATTTCTAGTTGAATCGAAAATAGTATAAATCGAATGTTTTCCTAAATGTCAACCTTTACAACTGAGTGCTGCTAATAAACAAAGGAGCATGTTAAAACATCCACACCAGATCAAAATTTACAAAGTTGCAAACCTATATCTCTGATATGTCCTGAAATAAACAAATTATAGTACTACTAGTGGGCCCTGTTCCTCGAGACGGGCCTGTTGCTGCTCCGCACCGTGGTGAGGATGGCGTCCAGGACCCTGAAGCGGCCTTCCTTGACCTTGAGCTCCTTGGCCAGCACCCGCAGCTTCTCCTCGTGCATCTCGTACGTCCTCACGGCGACCCTCCGCTGCTCCTCGGCCTCCCGCTGGCGCCTCTCCGCGCCGGACGCGGCCGCCTGCGCCGCCGCCGTCTCGCGGGCCACGTCGTCGATCCTGCGCTGCAGCGCGTCGGCTCGCTCCGTCAGGCGCTGCACGGCCGCGCGCTGGGACGCCGCGGCGTCCTCCCGCTCCAGCAGCTGCTCCCGCAGCGCCGCCTCCCGCGACGTTGGGTTCGCCGGCAGGACGGCCGAGGTGATCGACTCCCAGCACGACGGCGACGACGACATCGCGATTGTTGATCCGCGCGGGTACCGACGATCGATCGCTTGGCCTTCTTGGAAACTTAATTAGGTGCTTGATTGACGCAGGCGTGCGCGTACGTGGAGGGGAGTTCGTGTGGGCGCCGGCTCGAGTAGAATCCGAACAACGGGACGGTGTCCGCGCGTTCTACTAGCGTTTTCGTAGACGGGTGAAAAGATCGGGGGAGCTTTGTTCTGGACGATCACGATTCTTCCTACTTTTTTTTTGAGTTGACGATTCTTCGTACTTTGAATAAAACGTAAGGCATATCAGACACTCGACAGTGCGCGTTGTTGCCTAAGGCCGAGACCAAGCTAGCGGGCCGGCCCATAAACTGCTTTTCCTTTTTCTGATGTTTTCTATCTCTGGCTTTCCTGGGTTTTTTTAGGACGTGGCTACCTGGCGCCCGAGGGCCCGCTCACGGGGTCGAGCGCTCTTCCCAAAAGGAAGGCGGACTGTCACTTTCCCAAAAAACCAAATCAGTTTCTCACACCACCATCCTACGCCCACGTGATTCCGAAATCAACTGACATCCTAAAAGGAAACTACTTGACTTCACGCTACTCAGGAAATCACCTACGATCTTGTCCTGCGTGCATTTATTTGGGTTTCAAAAAATTTCAACAGGTATAACTTTTGATTCGTGCATCGGAATTCAGATCCGTTTTCACTGTTGGGTTTCTCACGACGAGTACTTCAAAACTAGATCCCATATCGGCACATTTTGACAAACTTTTTTCGCGTGCAACTTTGGGTTGTATTGAGGCAACTATAGTGCTATAAGAAAGCAACTTCTTCTTTTTCCTAGTATGACCGCCTATCAACGAAAAATCCTTCTAAGTTGGTTATCGCAACTATCAATTTGACTAGCTTCATCTCTAAGTTGTATACCATAAGTAGCAAGTATCCTAACTCTATGCCACCTATTACACTACTGCACACATCTAATTAGAAGGTTACTAGGTGAATTCACCAATAGATACGGTTCAATTCATCTAGCATCAAAGTAGCTCCTACTTAGCACTAAAGTTGCCTCATTTAGTATCATGTTCTTATTTTTGGCTTGGTATGACTTTCTATTAGGTTGATCTATGTCAAAACAATAAAATCACACAAAACATGAGGTGCCTTTAGTGCTACATACAAGCAACTTCACTGCACTATGTGCTGTGAATCTTGCTAACTTTATCCCAACTTGCCTATCAGGATTGCTCGGTTGCTTATCATTGATTATCAGTTGCCTACGATTGATGCTCAGTTGCCTACAAATACTATGAAGTTGCCTAACATTGATACCCGGTTGCCTATCTGTGATGCTCAGTTGCCTACAGTTGATGCTCAGTTGCCTACAAATACTATGAAATTGAACATTGATGCACAGTTGCCTATCATTGATGATTAGTTGCCTGTTGTTGAAGCCCAGTTGCCTACAATTACTATGAAATTGCCTAACACTGATGTCCATTTTGCCTATCGTTAGTGACCAGTTGCCCACGGTTCATGCTCGGTTGGCTACAAAATACTATGAAATTTCCTAACATTGATGTTAGTTGCCTAACTTTACAAATTAGTTGCCGACTAATATTGGGTTGTTTCTTATCATTCTTTTTCTAAGTTGCCTACCTGTGATGCTCTGTTGTCTGCCATTTCTATTTTAGTTGCCTAGAATACATTGAAAAGGTGGTCCATCATTGTTAGTAAGTTTCCTTTCTATGAAACTAAGTTGTTTACCATACCAAAAGGTATTACATGCAACTAAGGATGATGTTAAGCTACTCGCTTGTCATGGCAAGCCGCTTAGAATAATGTTAGCCTACCCCAGAAACTAAGTTGCCTACAATACTATCAAATTGGAGGCGGAGCTAATTATGATAGAAAACTTAGAAGTGAAGCTAGTTAACTAGATAGTCATGGTAGCCAACTTCAAAGAGATTTTCAATCATAGGAAGTCATACTAAACAAACTAACAAGAAGTTGCTTTCCTATAGCACTAAAGTTGCCTCCGTAGCACCCAAAGTTGCTCATAAAAAAAGTTAGTCGAAACATACTCATATGGGATCTAGTTTTAAAGATCTCGCCACGATTAACCTAAGGGTGAAAACATATCTTAATTTCGATGCTTGGTCTAAAAGTTATAGCTTTTCAAAATTTTGAAAACGCTAATTAAATGCATGCAGATCTAAGTTTGAACTGAATCCCCATCTCATGCAGTGTCCCCACGTGGGTCGCACCTTTGCGCTTGTCGTGGCGTGGTTATTATTGTTCTGGTCGAACGATTCCGCACGCGTCGGTGGCGATCGGGCGCAACGGACGGCTCTCGCGTGTGCGCTCGTGACGCCCATATGGCGCAGCTGCACGATTGAGTATTTAGATTTTTTTATCTCAGCACTGATAATGGCGAATGGAATCAGACAAAAGAAAAGCTGAGGTATTATTGATGTGGAGGCTATCTGATCGATCCCATTATGCACTAGACAACTGCATGACTTTTGATCATGGGCTCATGAGAATAATGGAGTTATTATGGTAAAACGGCCGACGTGATCAACTTTTGGTCAGTGGGTCATGGGAATAATGCAGTTTTTATGGCGTACCGAATGCTTGTGGCAACCAAGCTTAGGTGTGAAGCTTGACTCCAATAGCGCCCCGCCACGTCGAACTCTTAGGAGAACATAAAATGTGGACTAAGATGTGGAAGGTTTGATGTCCCTTCAAAAGTCAAAATATTTCTTTGGAGGCTTGCACAACAGTCCCTCCCAACAGCCGACTTATCACATCACAGAAATATGTCAACGATCTCTAGCTGTGGTCTTTCCGGCGCGGATGACTCTTGGCAGCATTCATTGCTACATTGCAATGTGGCTCGATGCGTATGGGCGTTACAAGAAGCTGACTTGGTGGAAGCACTAAATGGAGTTAGGGAACCAGATGCCAAAAGATGGATTTTCTCGCTAATGGAAGAGCTCCTACATGACAACTTTGTCCAAGTTCTTGTCACTCTATGGGCTATATGGTATGGTCGACGACAAGCATTCCATGAACAGATTTTTCAGAGCCCACATGCTACACATAGCTTCATAATGAAATACATAAGGGAGCTAGATGATTATAAGCCCAAGAATACACAGGCCGCGGCTCCCCATGTGGCAAGGCATCAATGAGTAGGATGAATCTTGCATGTGCAAGGTGTTGCCAAGATAAGAGTTGACAGTGTCGTATCGCATGAAGCAAATGCAGGATCATTTAGTGCAGGATACATGGATTCATCGAATGTCTATCCAGGCATCTCAACCATTAGGATCTCCGGGATTACAGATTCATCGTCTCTTGAAGCGCTGGCTTGTCGAGAGCCTATGGCTCTTGCTCTACACCTATCACTATCACATGTGAAGATCACTTCAGATTGTCAAGCTGTAGTCAATAACATCAAACAGGGAACCGCAGGAACCTTTGCGAGCGCCATAAGGGAGGTTATAGCTACTACAAGCGAATGCTCCTTCATCTTTGAAGGTTGTGACACCAATTTAAGGTACATAAACCTGCTAGACATGCTTTTGGTTTGGAGTTTGGCTGCCATCTTTGGCTATTGAACCCTCTAGATCTTTCTTGTATTCACAAATACATTGTTGAATTATAAATAAAGTGTGTTTGGACTAAAAAAATCCTGGTTTTTTATTATTCATTTTTAATTCTTATTAGTTTTTTTTTCCTTTTTCTTTTTTTCCTTTTCCTTTTTTCTTTCTTATTTTCTTTTTCTTTCTTCATAAGTTCAAATTTTCAAAAACTATTCAGATTTTGAAAAGTTGTTCATTTTCCCAAATATTTTTTGTGTTTTTCAAAAAAAATGTAAATTTTAGAAATATGTGTTCTTAAATAATTGTTCGCAAGTTTAAAAATCTTGTTTAAAAATTTTGTGCATAAATTAAAAAAATGTGCGTGTTTTTTGAAAATTGCTTGGAAATTTTCAATTTTTTTTGTTTTCTTGAAAATGTTCAGTTTAAAAAAAATTAGGTTTCCCCTTTTTTTACCAATTCAGAAAATGTTCAAAAAAATTTCAAAATAAGTTTGAATTTGATAAACTATTATCAAAATCCAAAAATTGTTCAGAAATTTCAGAAAGTATTCGTGTAAATTATTTGTGTTTTCAAAGTATATTTGGATTTTTGTATAATCCATCTCATAAAAAATGTCCATGTCAAGAAATGTTTGCGTTTTTTAATGTTTGGAATTCACCACTGTAGGGAGTTCTTAAACATTGGCGCTGCCTATCTTCTTCTATCACTATCACTCACTAGTTCGAGTGGCTAGCATTACAGATTCATAGTTAGAGGTCGCGAGTTTGATTCCTTCGAAGTGCGTCGATTTTTCGTGCTCGCTGATAGGTGAAATAAGTGTCCAATAAGAGCTCCTGAATCTAGGATTGGAAATCAAGAGGTGCCTAGATATTGGTGCTCCTAAAGCGGGGAAAACCTATTTTAAGGAGATATTTGCGCTCTCGGATTACCAAATTAGCGGTTGCACGGACACATGACAATATGTAAAAAAGTAGGAATTTCTGCGGTATCAGATGCGGAGATTGGGGTCCTTGGTTCGCTTTTGTCTCAATTGCTGGCAAGGAAGGGGCCCTTAAATTTCTGTCTCAGTGCCTCTTTTCTCCTACTATTCTAACAACGAGGCCTCCATTTCGAATTCGGATGTTGTGCTAAACTGTACCGCCCCGCCCCCAATACCCCTTACCTCCATTGTTGCCCGGTTCATGCCAACCTACCCCACCCCAATGAACGAGAGCGCGCGCCATGGACATTCCCTTGCTCCGCTTCAGCCATGGACACCCCCTTGCCCCGCATTGGCGAAAACCACCCCCGTGACATCACCTAAACCCTAGAAAATCGAACCCCCAGGGCCG